ATTTTGTGAAAAGTCCGTTTTTCGTGAAATTGTGAAAAAATTACTCACATTCTTTCAACCAGGGTCCGCTTTTATGAATTTGTGCAAATAGGGTCCGGTTATTGCAAAAAACTTTTTCAAGGCGTTTTTAAATTGTAAATAGATTACAAGATTATGCTCGGCACTGTAAAATTATAATAAAAAAATTTAATTTTCAAAAATAAACAGCAATTGCTGCTTCTAAATTAGAGATGCAACATTTGGTATTTAGCCTATACTGCTGAACGCAGAATATTCATTTCGGACGAATAATGGAAGAATCGTCAGCCGAAGACAAAACTTAATTCGTTTACATCCATCTTTCTTGTTTTCTGCCCTGGGAAGGGTTTATTCGATTAACAAAATAATAATGAGGATAAACAAATTTGTGAAGGGTCCGATTAAAGGAAAAATAATTTTGTGAAGTTAAAATATTTTGTGAAGGGTCCGTTTTTATGAAAATATATGTTGTGAAGGGTATATGTGTGAAATATATGTCCAAATTTCTTCTAAACAGACCCCTGTGTATATACTACTTAACTCTAGTAAGGCATATAAAAATTACAAAAATACTTATAAAATTACTATTAAGTAAAAAAATTAACATTTAAATAAAAGTACTAAATTAAAAATCATACAGCACTGAAATTTTATACTTCGTCATAAAATGAAAAAATTAAACTGTTTACTTAGAATTCGTGTCCTAGTTTTTTGTTGAATCAGAGCTAGCCCTTATCGCATTTTTAACTTCCTGCATTTAAGCCACTAAAAATTCTTGCTTTTCATATTTCGGTTAACGTCATTTAGCTTTTCTATAAAGAGAGATGATTAAGCTTTAGAATAGCTTGTAGGAAGGGTGTAAGAAGATATTTCTTTTTTTTATTTCTTGTTTCTTACAATTGAGTTTTTTTTTCTTATTTCTTGCTTTTATGATTCTTTAAGGTGTAGAAAAAATATATCGTTAATTTGTTGCAAATCGTAAATTTAGTCGACTAGTCTGGAAGAGGCAGACTGAGAAAGCCTTGGCCTGCACTAGGCTGTAGTGCTGTTAAAGAAGAAGTTGCAAAACATAAATTTTTTCACTCAACCGTAAGACAGTGATCTCGATCATGAAATCGTAATAATTACGAATAATTCATAATAGTTGGCACCACTACATGCATATTAACCTCAGCACTAGATTTAAATATTTCATTGTTATTATCATGTTAGTTATATCAATCATCCAGTATCAATCGTTATTATGATGTCAGTAAAAACTCATAATCAATCAGTGATCAGTATTAATCGTTATTAAAATGATAGTACAGAATTATTAATTTATCATTATCACAATTATCATTTTTAAAGCTATAAATTAATTTATAGTAATATTTTCGTTACTATATAATGTTTAATAATAATGACCATCTATTTGTATCAATCAGTATTAATTCTTATTTTGATGTTAGTACAAAATTATATAATCCATCAGTAATCAAATCGATTAACATTAATCGTTATTATAATGCCAGTACAAAATTAAAATACTGCAGACTTATTATAATTATCAAATTATTAATGACAATGATTATCATAATAACAATCAGTATATCAATCAATATTAATCCTTATTTAAATGTCAATGAGAAAAGATAATTAATCAGTAATACAATCAATCAATATAAATCGTTATTATGCTATCAGTAAGAAATTAAAATTTCCATCATTACCTTACTATTAATTGATTTATCAGGAATAAAAATGGCTGCAAGAGCACATATTTCTTGCCAGTGGTCATATTATTACCTTTATTTTGCAAAATATATTTTATTACCAATTTAAAAAATGGATGTTGTTGTAGGCTTTTCACAATTTTCGACGAAATTTACTTCGACACCATAATCACAAATAAAGAGTTGGAAGCCAAATAAAATCAAGCTAGCATAAGCATTAATAATAAGCAGCACAAAAATTTTAAATTTTAAAAAAAAAGCAATCCAAATTTTGTGGGGTTATGAAAGTAAACCCTGGAAGAAGAAAAAAACACATTTGACTTATGGGTAGCCAGTGATTACTTTTTATTTCTTTTTATTTTACTTTTTATTTCTTACACAACTTTTTATTTCTTTCAATTCCATTATTTCTTAAAATTGAAATGGAGAATTTATAGCCAATACGATCCGAAGGTACGTTGAACTTCCTGAAATACATTTTAATTTCTTTTAAAATAATTTTGAAAAAAATCACATTTTTTTATCAAATTTTAAGCGAAGAATTTAAGATATTAATTTCAATTAAGACTTAATTTTAAATAATTAATATTTATTTCTAGATACAAGGAATTCTTTACACAGTCGATATTTATTAAAATGCATAATACTGTATAACGTAACAGTAAATTACTTCATAACATTATGTAATAATTATAGAGGGCCCCGCGAATGATAAATCTGCGAGAGAGTGACGTAAATTTAGCCAAATCAAATTTGCCTATAAACCCAATTAATTGCCACGATTAAAAAAATAGTTGCTATTCTTTTAAATTTTAATTAATCTTAATTTTTATAAAGTATATATTCGTATAGTTTGTTCATTTTAATTCATTTATTACGTCTAAACATAGGAAGCATCTGGCAAAAATCACTGGAATTCAGGGGTGTGGCAAAAAAAGCTGGACAAACAATTCTTTATTCTACTTTATTAAAAATAATAAAGAAACAAAATTTAGCAAATAATAATTAAAGAAGACTTTTATTAAAAAATAAACTCAATTGTTTTCAAAGAGGTTACCTTTTTAGTTTAATTTTTTTAGTTAGACAAAAAGAAATGAATACACAAATAGAAATTAGTAAACTTCCACTCTAGGATGCAGTGACTTTTTCCTAGTTTTATTTTTGCAGCATTATTTACTCTGTACTCGCTTAAAAAAGTTGACTTTGTATTTTCCCTTAATCATAATGATTACATTCTCTATTAATTGTAGTAATTTGCAGAATTAAAGTCAAATACAGATGTGATATAAAAAAATAATGAAGTTTTGTTTCATTGTAACCTCTTTCATTTTTAAAAACAGCCCAATACTTGATCCTACAATGTTGTTTTTTCTTGGGGGGGGGTGATTAAGAGAAAAGCACTGGGGGGGGGAATTAATCAGTTTTTTGTTGAGGGGCTAACTATAATGTATCCATCCACAACTTTAAGAAGATCTCCTGCAAGTATGTTATGACTATTAATCAGTTTTTGTCCATAGACTAACTATAATGCATCATCCTGCAACAACTTAAAGAAATCCTGCTAATATGTTATGACTATTAATCAGTTTTTTGTCACTAGGCTTACTATAAAGGTATCCATCTACAACTTTAAGACCTCCTGCTAGTATGTTATTACTGTTAATCATTTCTTTGTCCATAGGCTAACTATAATGTATCCTTCTACAACTTAAAGAGGGCCTCCTGCTAGTATGTTATGACTCTAAATCAATTTTTTGTCGCTAGGCTAACTATAATGTATCCTTCTACAACTTTAAGAAGACCTTTTGCTTGTATTACTATTAATAAGTTTTTTGTCGCTAGGCTAACTATAATGTATCCTTCTACAACCTTAAGAAGACCTTTTGATAGTATAACTATTAATTAGTTTTTTGTCGCTTGGCTAACTATAATGTATTCTTCTACAACTTTAAGAAGATCTCCTGCTAGCACGATACGACAGTTAATGTTGCTAGGCTAACTATAACGTATCTTTCTACAACTATAAGAAGACCACCTGCTTGTATGCAATGACTATTAACCCCTAAACGAAATAATTATAATTTTTTTTTTAAAAAAAAAGTATTACTGTGAATCACAAACTACCTTTAATTGCTTAACCCATAAATAAAAAGTAGTAAATAGACCTCCAAAATATCCAAAGCAATGAAGACGTAAAAATATTTAATATTTATTTACATTCATTCTAATAAGAAATGAGATTACCCAACCCTTTATTTATCTTAACTAATCAAGGAAGTTCCTTCGTAACTAACAGCCAATAAGTGAAAAAATAAGTGAAAGGCTAAACATGGTTAATTCCTTTAATAAATGCTAAATGTTAATCATTCTGTTTGGATTTATGAAATCTACGATGAAACTTGTAACATAAAATAAATACATAAGAAAAGAAAGCCTTACGTAGAAGAATCACTTACAAAAAGGTAGAAGAATCACTTACAAAAAGGATCATTTAGATCGTTTTTATAAGAGAAATTTACAATTAAACTTAAAAAATTATAATTAATAAGATAAACTGTCAATAAAAAATAGTTTTAGAAAAGATAAGTTTTAGCACTAAAAGCTAACAAATAATATAAACATCGAGATGATAAAAAACAAAGTATTTCAAATTAATTAATATGTAAATAAAACGATACAAAGCATTACATAAAACAATAAAAATTAGAATAAAAAGCGATAAAAAATTATTATATAAAACGATAAAAATCATCTCTTTTTTTAAAAAAACTCTTCAGAAGATCCAAATCAATAAAGTTGAAAAATTTAATTAAACATTTTCAATTTAGTTTAAATTACAAATAAATTAACGAATAACAATTTTGAATTAAATAATAGAAAATCTCTTTCAATTAAATAGGGAATTCGATAAATAAAGACTTCAGAAACGTAAACAATATTAAAACAACTTGTTCCAATTTATCATATATCCACTTTTAACTGTAATTGTAATTAAATTTCAGAATACACTTACAAATGCTAATCACATTTTAATAACGAAACTAATGGGGAAATGACACTTTAAACGCAAAATTAGATAATGTCTAAACAAAATAAAATCACTAACAAACGATAAATTTAAATAATTCCGAATTTAAAAACAAGCTCTGAAAGGTGAGAACAAACGATAGGTGAAAGACGTATTAATATTTCCTTTTGAAGAACATTTCCGAAAACGATAATTTATTCCATTAAGAAAAGAGCGGGAACGTAAAAGGGTTTCCTTACCTTTCTATTTTCGAATTCATGCGAGCATCCTTAATTGCATTTCCACAATCCTTCACTCAACTCCAGTAGAAAGGCTTTTCCCTCGAAGCACGTGGTCTTCAGCGGCCTTCATTAGCGTCAATTGCCACTTAAAACAGAAGGGAAAAAAATTCTTTTAATTACTCAGCTGTACCGCTAGAGAGCGTGCATCGTCGCGCCATGGCAACACAAATTATGATCTCGCACGTTTCACAGTTTTGCCTCTTCCAGAAAGTTTTGTTTTCTGCCGCCGCTCACGCCAAGATAGTTTTCTTGAAGCTGAAGAAGTCGACCGTTGGATGGGAGGAAAAAAAATGGCGTGTGAAAACGATTTTTTTTTTCTTCTTTTACCTCCCCTCGTTTAATCAAAAAGGGGTTTGTTTTCCCGGAGCTCTCCCCGCGTTTTGACACCTCATTAAGAAGTTAATTAGTCCGTTTTACGAGTGAGGGAGTGGAGAGGAGTTTGGTTGTTTTTTATGCCACTTCTTCTTTCTCTCTGCTCTTTCTTTTTCCGCAGACGATCGCGGGAAAAACCGTCGGAGGAAAGGGGCACCTATCGCTCGAATTTTTTCCAGGACGCGATTTCGACTGGTACTTCATCCATTTCTGTATCCCTCTGTGCTGCAAAGACGACGAGGAAAGAAAAGAACATTGGGACGGGCAAAAAATCCCTCCCGTTTCCCCCCTTTACCCTCCCCTACCCCAGGCAAGAGCTAGACGCAGGTTGCGCCTCCAATCAATAAAGTAGAGGTTAGAGAGGGAAGAAAGAGGAAAGATGGAACGAATGGAAGCGTAGAAGAACGAGAGAAAAAGAAAAAAAAATGAACTAAAAAAATATAAAAATCCGAGGAGGGAAGGTTTTCGAGGAGAGGGAGGGGGACTTAAACCGGGCGGGGAGCACCAGGAAGGCTGCTAGAGAGAAGCAGACTATAAGAGGGGTGGGCTGTCAGTGGGGAGGGTGGGCAGAAGATATTGACTGGCGGGCTGTTGCTGCGCGTTCCTACTGCAGAGGCCGGGCTAGACAGATCGATGAAAAAAGTCGCCTCTGTTAGAAAAAGAGAGACGCCACTTTTTCGAACCTTTTTCTGTCGAAGGTTTTTTCCTTTCCTCCGACTGGTCTCGTTCTTTTGTTTTTAAGAATTTTTTTTCCCCTCTACTCCTAGTTATTTATTCATTTTCGACTTCTTCCTCGTCCAGAATCTTTTTTGGCGATAAGTCCGATTTGTAGGCGAAAAAAAAAATTATCTTTCCACCCCCACTGGGGATGGAAAGGGATTCCACCAACGTTGTTTGTGCGGACTTTACCGTTCGCCAAATAAACAGACTGAGAGGTGGGCGAGAGATGAACGAATTGAGGGGTGAGGGGAAAAAGGGCGCGAAAATATTTTTTTGGAGAATTTTTTTTCCCTTTATTTTTTTGCTCCCTATCTACCACCAAGGTCAATAACCCACGCGCGTCGTCCACTGAATGCCAAAATTCCAGAGGCAGACGATGCAGACGTGATTGAGAGGCAACAGACGATAGTCCCCGGATTACTCCTGGCTGAGCGAATGAAAAATAAAAACCGGGAGACTGTTTTATTCTACATGTTTTTAAAAATAAGAATCAAAAGGTAGCAGTTGTATTTTCTACCAAGTAGCTAAACTGGATCCTGAAAATCTTATCATACTTGCGATCGCGTCTACTTATCTTTTTCGGATAAGCTGTCATCTTTTCATACGGTAGATTTCTCTTTAGTTACATTTATTGCGCCTGCATAACCTGTTGTAAAAGAATTTGTCTTATACAAAAAATTTATATCTCTTGGGAAATGAAAGATGTGTTAAAAATAAATAGTCAATTTCTTCCCATCTTCCATGAAACGAAATAGAATGAATATAAAACAAACGGCATTATCTGAAGATAAATAAATGACATTTTGGGCAAGAAAATAAAATTTTCGATCTGGTATTCATTTTTTGATCCTGCTAAAGAGTTCGGTAAGGATGATTTGAGTCATTCACAATCATGAATCTAAATAAGTTTTCACTGCCGATAATCATCCTTTATTTGATATGTCTAAGGCATTGATATTCTCAATACATCGTAAGGATATATTTTAAATTGTCTTTATCATGATATTGAAAAAATTATGATATTTACAGATACATAAATATATTTTTCAGCTCTAATCTGATTCAAAATAACTATTTAAATTTTTAAAAAAAATACATTCGGACTTCTATTTAACGATTTTCCATTTTGCGAATTTCTCTATTTTCGAATTTTTCCGAGGAACCAAGAACATTCTGGAAATTTCTTCTCAAAATAACTTCCAAATAGAGAAGTGATGTTTCTATTTAACGAATTTTTCTGTGGTTTTAACTTTCCCAGAATATTTCAGAACATTTCAAACTTGTTAACTCATTTTGTGGGGGTAATGACCTTAAATTGATTTTCGAAACAACTGCTTTATGTAATATTTTACTGCTTTCTCTAAAAGTTATTTTGTAGAAAGCAGTTAAATCCCTTTCCCTTTTTGTTTGCATTTCAAACAAAAAAACTCAGGCAAAATTAACGGATTTTATCAGTAGAAATTAAACTTAAGAACGCATGTAAAATTACTTTACAGTTATAATTTTATACAATTAATAAATACAGCTATAATTTTATACATAAATTTAGTTTCTTAATTGAAAATGTATATGGCATGATAGTGTAACACTGGATAATGTTTCGGTCTATCTTGCTTTCCATGCAGATTTCTTTTATGGCTAAATAAATTTCTAAAATAAATAGTAGAATACTAGTTTACAAGATAAAGGTATATTAATTACTATTTTAATTATATCTAGCATTAATGAATTTAAAACCTATTTTGTGTTGTTTAAGTATTTCAAAAGGTGATTTTCTATTTAACGAATTTTCCATATAACGAACTTATTATCGGGATTTAGCAACTTCGTTAAATAGAGGTTCGACTGTATTTAAAATTTACCATTGATTTCTAATTTTGGTTTAATAAAAAAAATGATAAAATCTTTTGAATTGAAGAAAACATGGCCTTGATTGAAAATAGTATAACAATAGCAATAAATGTTAGGTGAACATACGTTCTTTACCAATCCATTACTAAACCTGGAAATAACCATGGCGAGTCAACCACATGCCGTTTATTTAATTAACACACTTAAATTAAATAAGCAACCAATCACTTTTTTCCATTGTTTTTTTTATATATTTTTTATCTATCCTTTAATGATAAAATTGCATCAATGCAGAAAGACTGGAAAACAGAGCTTTCATTAAAAAGACCAATGTCTCCATTCAAATTTTTGATCTTTCAGAATCCATCCATCAATTTGAGGGGGGAAAGATTCATGTGGAAGGAGAGTTAAAATCACATATTCCAAAGTTGTAATGTATACATTAAATATATTTTCGTCCCTCCCCCCATAAATAAGCATACTTCAAATAAAGTTCTTTAAAGTCAGTATATTTAACTAAATATTGTCACATATTTACATTATTTTTATTGCTGAATTAACTTTTTATACGAGTTTTTTTTTATAAAAATATAATTTGATCCAATCAAAATATGAAAAAGGTTGCTTAAATATAAAGGACCTAACGATATCGATCAGCGACTCATTAGGTTTGAGGGAAAAAAATGGCTACTATAACTATTCGAGACTAGAAAATTTAAATTTTTAGATCTACCCAGAATTCCATGGGTAAAATATACAACTGCAAGTGCAACATTCTTTCCTTTTTTACCGACTGCAGCAGGAATTAAAATATAGCACTGTCAGTTAGTTATCTCAAGGATTAAAGTTTGGCACTATAATTCATATCAGCGGTTTCCAGAAGGTGTTCCGGGTAACTTAAGGGTCCCGTGCAAAAGTCAGTGGGTTTTTGAGAGTTAGGATATTTTTTTCAATCGGTTATGATTTTTGAAACCTATAAGAATGTTTTTATCAACCAATTCTATCATGTTCTGTAAAATATATTATATCAATGGAACAGCAGGCACTGTTTAATCTAAAAATCTTAGTCAGAAATTTAAATGAAATATTGAACCGAAACACACATCTTTATTCATAAGTTTAAAGGAGGGGATTGGTAAGGAAAATATATGGTACCCCAGAACGCCATGGCTACTACAAGTGCAACTTTTTTTTTTACCGACTGTAGCAATGATTAAATTATAGCAGAGCCAGTTATGGCAAGGATTAAAGTTTAAGACACAAAATAATATGTATCAACGGTTCCCAAAAGGTGCTCCGCGGAACCTTAGGGTTTCGTGAGTTAAGATTTTTTAAACCAGTTAGGATTTTTTAAAACTAGTTGCAATGTTTTTATCAACCTATTCTATCAAGTTTTGTAATAAATATTGTATCAAAGAAACAGTAGGCACTGTGTAATTCAAACATTTAGGAAAAAATTTCAATGCAAATAAAATTGAAACGCACCTTTTTATCCACAATAGTTGGGGGAGAGGATTGGTAAGGTAAATGCTAGGCTTACAGGTGTACCCCTAGTACATGGTACCCCTGTACGACATGGATAAATATACAACTACAAGTGCAACTTTCTTTCCAGCAAGAATTAAATTGTAGAACTGTTAGTTATAGCAAGGGTTAAAGTTTAACACACCATAATCTATATCAGATGTTCCGAAAAGGTGTTCCGCGGAACCTTAGGGTTCCGTGGAAAGGTCACATTTGTTTCGTGAGTTAGGATTTTTCAAGAACGAAAGGGATTCTGAGGTGAAAAGGTGAGGAAAAAAAGAACAGAAAGTGAAATAGGTGTTCGGGAACAAAAGATGAAAACGTGTTCCCTAAAGTGCTGTGCCGAAATTTAGGGTTCCGTGGGCAGATCAATGGAGTTCCCGGTGTAAGAATTTTTTCAAGAACAAAAGATGTTCCGAGGAGAGAAGTTTTGTAAAAGAATAAACAAAGGCTGAAAAAGTGTTCCGCGAAATGTTAGAGTTACGGGGTAAGGTCACTTGGGTTCCGTGAGTTAGAATTACAAGTTGTTTTTTTTAAACTAGCCATGATTTTTGAAACCCGTAACTATGTTTTTATCCAACCAATTATCTATTATTTATTTAATATTTCGGTTAATTCTACGAAGTTATTTAAGTAAAATGACAATAGAAAAAGAAAGAACAGAATTGAAATAAATATATATACTGAAATAAAATAAACAAATTCAAGAGTAAAGAATTATTTTTCTCTAATAACCATACTCACGGTTTAAAATAGTTCTTTTTCAAAAACAATTATTTTATTCAATTCCAACTTACGCAAACGACTAAAATTGCGGAACTAAAAATCATTGAGGACGTGCGAATTCAACTGCTTAATATAAAAACAAATTTTAAGACTATATTTGATAAAATGATGAAAAAATTTCTTCTAAATTAAATTCGTAGTCATTATTATTATTATTATTTTTGGTTAGTATATTTAGTTACTAATTAACTTTATTTATGAAGTCAGGGTTTCGAGAAAAGAAGCTCGATCATTTAGGGTTCCATAATCGAAAAAGAAAAATGCAGAGGAAATTTCTTTTCTCGTGTTGGCAACAAAAAGCTGAAGCAAACCGAGCAATGATTTGGATAAAAATGAGAGGTCAAAAGCGAACAGTTCATATGAACAAATGAACTGTTCGCTTCAAACAAACGAATAGTTCGTATAAACGAATAAATATAAACAAATTAACTATATTTTTGATTTAATCATGCTTATTATTTTGCTCAGATAGCATAATGGATTAGA